GGGACAGGCCTGCCAACGGCAGGGCCACGTGCCCAGCGGGCTCCGGCTGGCCTCCAACAGCACCCTGGGGACCAAAACAGCGAGGGGACCATTAACATTTTCTGCCTTTGAAGAACTCAAGCCAGGCAATAGCCTGCAAATGCCAGCCATCACCTATCAACGCTGGCCCTGCGCAGAGCTGGGCCATCCAAGCAGGGGTACCAGCGTGAAACCATCCGCCAGCCTCTCTCACTTCACCAACGCATCAGGAGCAAAGCTGTCACCGGCTGGCTAAACACACTCACCCACAAGCAGCTGATCGGCTGGGGAGGTTGGTGCCTCTGGCACAAGGAAGCATGGCTTGCCCGCCACCCTTAAACATGCAGTCCCAAGCAGTTACGTCTCTAGCTGTGCTATACTAGCCGATATCCTGGAGGTGCAATTCCGAATTCAGCCGGGGCCCCGAGCAGGACAGTCAGCCACAGCTAACTGAGGTTCAGAAGCCTTACGCCCAAACGCCACCACCTAAAGTCATTCTTAGCGTTCCCTGCTCTGGTTGCATAGAAATTCCTCGTGTTTCCCAAGCTGCCGACCTCATCTCCCACTCCTGGCTAAAGGCCGTGCCTACATCCTCCACCCTGAACGTGGAGGGACCTAGGTCTGGCTCCCATTTATTACTGTTTTGCCTGCCTTGTGGTAGTGGCTCCTTATGGGACCAAAACATGCCATAACATTTCAGTTCTTTCCCCCAGAAAGCCACTGATTTTAGCAGCTGAGGGAAGAGGACGCACAGTGAAAAATCATGCTGGCAACCAATTAGGTAATATGGAAACAGCATGACCATCGGTTTTGGCTGGCGATTTAGAGCTGATGGGAGCTGGCAGCCTCAGCAAGCCGGAGGCTCGGAGGCTCAGGCATCACATTCTCCATCACAAGCCAAGTGAAACTAGGGGAGAGTCAAACCAGGGCAGCAACAATGCAATTGGGAAGGGCGGAAACCAGCTTTCCACATTCCTGCAGCTCAACTGATCTCCCCCAGCACTGCTGGCATCTGCATTTTAAAGCAGGGAGATTCCTGTAATCACAACCAGAACCAGTCAGGTTCTGAAGCTTGGGATAAAGAGCCCTTCTTCCCAATCAGCCCCACGACAGGTTTTTGCTTCCCCACTTCAAAGGCATTCAATCTTAAGTGCCCTCTGAAGTTGCTGAGCCAGCCACAGGACTTTCAGGCGTGCAGATCAAACCTTTTCGCTCTGCTTTGGTCCAACAATGCTAGCTCAGCACTTGAACGCTGCGAAGCTCCCAGCAGTTTCTGTTCCCACCACCATCTCTGTTCCCAGCAGTCTCTGCCTATCGTTCATCCTGAGGGAATAAACTAACATGTGGGTCGTTCCACTGCTCTGCTTTTAGAAACCTCCGCATTCATGAAGACCGAGATCGGTATTCCCAGTACTAACCTCATCTCTGACTAACTTCATAGCACTGCTACACTTCTAATTCTTACAGTAACTCAGCTGTAAAGGTGCATGTCTTAACTAACAATGCCACTAACTTTTCAAAGCACCTTGTCATTACTGGTTACGTCTTGGTGTGTGTGCGTGTGTGTGTGTGTCCATGCGTTGTTCACCATCTGCAAACAGATTCCCATAAGATAGTGCAGATGCTGAGACCAGGGAAGCACCACGCTCCCCAGAGCAGCAGACAAGGCTCTGGGTATGCAGTTACTTCAGCCCATCTGCCCACAGGGTGCTCTTCCTCCTGTCTCAGCTCTTCTAAAGGGGGCGAACATATTTCCTGCTCACCAGTGTTGCATGGGTGGAGATGGAGCGCTACAAGCAGAGAGCACCTTGACTTCAGGACAAAGAGAGCTACAGAACGTTTTCCTCACCATATAAAAACAATCAGGTGAGCAGTAGGCTTCATGGGCATAAACAAAAAAAAAAAAGAGAGACAGCAGAAGCAAATGTTTCACTTCTATCCTTGATCTCCGCACGAGACTGGGACTCGGAGCTTGTCCTCTTGTCCCTTTGTCGTTTACTTCCACTGTCCTTAGAAAGTGGTGTTGGTGTAGCGTGCCGTCTGTGATTTTCTTCAGCGTTGAACGTCAAACGACGAGATCATCCACTTGTGTAAGAAAGCGTACATACAAAGAATAAAGAGTATTATCTACAGTGTGCACACTTACTGGCTGATTTATGGGGCGTGGATAAGATATCAAATATGTCCAAGGAAGCGTTACAACAGAACAACGCAAAGCTGTAAGGCTGTAAAGGAATGCCAGGAATAAAAGTGGCTTAGTTGCAGAAATCTGAATATTGGCAAAGGAGATGGGGAGCTATGCGCTGCTAGACTTGAAGGAAAGGCCATTCTCCCAGAAACCCCAGCCACTCCATCAGAAAACATGCCCTTTTCATTAAGAGCCAGAGCTGAAGAACCTTGTTCATATTTTATAGATCTTGGCTCCAGAGTCACATCCATACCTGCTTGTATGCATGCCTTAGTTGCATCAGATTCAAACTAGGCACCTAACAGTAGTTAATCTTAGTTCCTAGCCCAGTTCACATGTGCTGGAAGTGAAAAGAGATTCAGTGCTCCAGCACGTGAATGAAGCGTAGGCAGAAGGCTCAATATAGAAGGTTCTTTCAGGAAAGGCAGACAGATTATGACACCCCTCTGGTTTCCAAAAAGATGAAAGGGATTCCACTGCTGGCTCATCTTTTAACAGAGCATAAAGATGATATTTTGCCCTTTCAAAAGAACATCATTCACAAGAAACACTGAACAACTCTGCAAGTATAAGAAGCCATAAGTCTTACTGCATGATCTGGAAAAATCTCTTTCAAGGAAAAGGAAAAAAATGCCCTTGACTGTTTTCCAGAGCTAGTGAGAGTTAAGTTGAAAAGAAAGACCAGACTGAAAAAGGAAATCCTCTGTTATTTGGTAACTAGTGAATATTTGCTCTGTAAATAGAAGTAAACTGAGCTTATCTGAGCAAATGAGAGCAAGAACAGAATAGCAGAGTGCACTGGCTTATCCCCAGCCATGGAAAAAAGGTAACCTCTGGGTAAGCGCTTTCTGGACTCATACAGCCTGCGAAACCAGGGAACCTCATGTGAATGTCATCATGTCCACAGGATGGTGCCACCCACTCGCTAGCAACATCCCATTAGTGAATTCATGAGCACCTGCAACAAATGCACCAAAACCCATCACCTATGAGAAATGCTGCCTTTCAAGTAGACGTTAGTCGACAAAATCACAGACCTTAGGAGTCGACAATTTTATTAAATTATCGGTGCTGTGCTACAGCCCTTTCGGGAAGCTGGCCATTAGCAAGCACCCACTCAGCAACAGTCTAATTGCAGCACGCACTCAGGAGAATTTGATTCAAAATGTGCTTGCTGCTCTTCCCTGTTTTCTGTCAAAAAAAGAAGCCCAGGAATTAGCGTACAGATAGAGGAAAAGGATGGGAAAAGCAAGCGCCAAAACCCCGTTGCCAATTTTAGTGAAAGCCCATTAGGTCTACGGCACTTCCCACAAAAGCACCAAATATCCCTTCTTTAGATCCACTTCTGCTGCCAACGGTTCTCACGATGCAAATTCAGCACAGAGGTTTGCCTAGCAGTCCTGAAGAGAACAGACTTCTGGTTTTCACAGAAACACAGAGAGGTTTAAGATGCAGCACACTGAATCTACTTGAACAGAGTAAAGCTTTTCTTGGAGTTCATTTGAATCCCCCTTCCAAGCCCCTCTCACTCCTGTAAAGGCAACTTCTTAGTGGCTAGAGTCCATCCCTGAAGACGCTTTGCTTGTTGATTTGCCCACTAGAAAAGCACAGATATGTCCAACATGCTACCCCCACAAATATACTCCACTTCTTCCCTCTAGGGTTGTTTGCACCATTGTGTCTGTACAGGCTCTGGAATTTCCTATTTGATTTCTTCAAACTCTTGTGAGGGATTCAAGGTTGGGCCAGGAATCATCACCGTCTGAAAAAGCAAGAAATTGAATTAGCATGACACAGAACACTCCTGAGCTGCTATAACAAGACATTTTCACGTCTTACAGAGTATGAGAAAGGGTGAGCAAGGGGTTCTGGCAACGCAAAGGCCTTGCACAGGAAGATGACCAGATGGTAGCAGCGTGGGGGAGGACACGGCGGGAGGGGGAGGGGGAGAAGGGGGGAAGGGATGACATCCCTGGTACCAATACTATAGTTCTCACCTCCTTCCTCTCTAGGATCTGTTGTTAGTATCAAAGGAAAACAGGACACCTGCGCCAATTTGCCAGACTATGCACAGGGAGCAATAACCCCAGAAATTATCATATACACATCAAATAACCTCAGGCTCTTATTACATCTTCTGGGTTATCCTAAACCAAGTGTATTCCACATTTTCCAGATAAAGACCTCAACCACCCTACAGGGGTGGTTCACCCTACAACTTGGTGAAGTCCCCGGTTACTCCTACAAATTAGGCAGAGGAAAAAATCTGCCAGCTTAAAATCCAGCTTGCTATGTAGTCCAGATAAGAACCCATGCCTCACAAGCCACAGTGGCATCTCTTTGGCACAGCATTAAACAGCTCTAAATTACCTACACCAGGCTTCCCCAGTTACTACAGAAGCCTCTGGGCAATATCCAGCAGCTGGATGGAGCGAGACACAGCTGCATCCAGGCATAAAACCTCCAGAAGCAGCAGAAAAGCTGTTTCTCATAACTAGGACAGAAGAACACAACTGGCAAAGACCTCCTGGGACTCAGTCTAATGCCTGGTGATTATAACATACAATGGCCATGGTGAGAGCTGCTAGGGCTGATAACCCCACATTAGTAGGGCTCCTTGCAGATGAAGCCACCACCATCTTACTACGAGGAAGCACAGCTTTGTTTTTGTCCAGAATTAACTAGGGATCTTTGTTTCACGGACGCAGTCCACAAGCCAGCTGAGCTGGCCCCTGCTCCTGGCGGCATTACCTTGACAATGGGGTCCTTGGGCGGAGCCCATTCTGGAACGATCTTGGCGTGCATCCTCCACGTGCCATATAGGTTGACCAAGTGCCTCTCAAATACAACATACTCCAAAACGTCCTTGGGCACCTGCTCCCCACCATACATCAACCGCCCAAACCGGTCATAGATCGCCAAAGTCTGTAAACACAACCAAGAAACGTGTCGGGCTGGTAGCAGGTTGGAGTCACAAGGGGGACAAAGGGACGTACCTGTCGAGTGTGCATTCGCACTGTCACCTGGCCATACAGGTTGCCTCGATTCACCATGCTGTCACATCGAACATGGACCACTCTTGGAGGCTCCAGTGACTCCACAAAACTCCACCGGATGGTCTTATACCTGTTCCCACGGACCATTTCCTATAAAGGAAAAATAAAACAGCAGCCACATAGAGGGTGCATCGAATGACAAGCAAACTACTGTCTATAATATAATGAAGCATTTATTCGTTAGCTATTTCTCAGACTTGTGCTTTGCCTCCCCGCTCTACGTTAACATCCAGATAAATATTTACCGAGTAGCAGCGCTCTGTCACCAAGGAGTGAAGTTTCTGCTTGTTAAAACTGCAAGAGAAACACACCCAGTTACTCAAATACACATATTGGAAAGAGGCTTACTCACAAAGTCCTCCTTCTCCAGAAGGCATACAATCCACTGGCAAAACAGAAAAAGCTAAATTCTCAGCTGTAATCTCAGAGCAGAAAAAGAACATACATGCAAACAGGTTGACAAGACTTCAGGGAAAGACACGACAACATCCTTGGGAAGCCAGATATGACCTAAATGTTTTACTGATGTTTGGAATCGTAACCAAGAAAGATGCAGTTTTGAAATCTGTTCTATTACTGGAAAGCAGAACAAGTCAGTGGAGCAACACTGCAGATCCAAACAATTCCCTACAGCGTGATTTGGAACAGCACCAACCACCCACTCTTCTGCTGATAACGCTGAGGGTGCAAGAGCTCACTTCCTTTACCAGTCAGGTCAAGATGAATTTTCTGTATCCTGCCTTTCATTATCAAAAGCGAGAAGGTACTAGCCAAATCTCTAACGCTATCTCCTCTTCAGGGAGAACATAGCGGGGTGAGATAAAGTCAGAGACAGGGTATAAGGATTACAAGTACCAAAAAAAACCAAACAGGCATATAGGCAAAGAAAAGCAGATACTACATAACCCCATTAGTCAGAGAACGGGTCTTACTTGGCCAGGCAATTGTGAGCTTCAGTGAATATCTCTTGTGCCTTCTCTGGGAAGGTTTTAGTGCTGAAATCTGGATCGTGATCTTTTACTTTCCGCAGACTGAAAAGACAAGAAAAGCTCTACAGCAAGCAGAGAACTATTTGGAAGCTCCTCGCATGTTTCAGATTGGACTGGGTAAGGTTATTGTCACAAGCCCAGCTTCTACCAGGAAGCAACTGTGACTTGGAGACTCCCCACAAAGACATCGTCTCTAGGTGTTCATAAGACAAACATAGTGCAGGTGCAGTCTGCAATCCCAAACAACCCACAGAAGCCAGTGCATGTTGCAACCGTTCACGCTAGGAGGAACGCCTTGCGTTCATTTTCATGCCACAGGCTCCCAGTCAAGTACTTGAACAGTAGCAATGAAAGAACCAGGTAGAAAACAGAGGCACAGTCTATAAGATCGAACCGAGCATAACTTCTGCTCCAGGGGCGCCATTAGTTAAAAGAAGAGTACGTACGCTAACTGGGAGACAGCGCTCTGCTTGAATCTTTCCGCCCTTTGCTTCAGCCCCTCTTTAGATAGAGATGTCAAGCGGGCATCGCCTTCAGGAGGGACGTATGGGTCAATAACATCAGCTGCACGAGAGGAAAAGGTCAGGAGGAGACTCACAAAATGGCATACGTTTAGAAAGCAACAAACGGACGACATCCTGGCTGCTGAGGGCTGGAGTGCCAGGATTCCTCCTTGAAAACGTTTGCAAGATGAAATACAAGCACAAAGACAATTGATAACCGGCACCTGTAACTGCTGATAAGCTAGGTTAAACTGTATGCTCGCCTTCTCTTCTATACAGTCCCAGGAGATGAAAATAAGACATACAGTCAGCAGGAGACAACATGACCTCCCTTGCTGTTCCTGTACAAAGGGGCCAACAGTCTGACACGTTTCTGGGGTAAAGCAGGGCAGCTGTTATCCCTCACCAGCGGCAGAGTGAATAAATCAGCCCGTTGCAGACAAACAGGCTGTCGGCAAGGTCACACTGCCTAGGCTATTAGCTCCCTGCTTCTACCTCGCATTAGTTCTGCGCTCAGGAAGTGACCAAAGCAAGTTTTCTATTACCTGTGCAGGCCAAATAGAAGGTCCGTTCCACATGCTCCTCGGGAGCTACCATCCTTGAAGGTCTGAGTTTCTTCTCTTCAAGGGACTGTTCTCTGTCCCAGTTGGGGACAGAGAACCTCCGCTTTGTTCTCACGGGGACAAGACGACAGGTGGGAGCCCCTCTGGCAGAACGCAGTAAGGATTCCACGTTCTAAGGAAGAAAAAGAACAAAGTCATGGAGTTCACCCAATGTCCCTTCACGCCTACAAAACGCAGAGGAGGGCTCCTG